TATACACACACACACAATTTTTTTACAATGCCCTCTACACATTCCTAGAGAATACCTTTTCACCGCCCTCCTTTTCCAATATAGGTTTTAAAAAATACCCTCTGCATTAATATATAGATAGATACACAATACACACATGACTTTTCCCCAATGCCCTCTACACATGCCCAGAGGCCTCCTTTAACACCACCTGTCCTTTTGCAACGTATTTCAAAATGCTCTCTGCACATGCCTAGAGGACCCCTTTTGACATACACCCTTTCCAACATGCCTATTAAACTGCCTGTTTATTATAATCCTTGCTGTTTCTCTTATCGTATTACTTTACCGGCCTGTGAGCTATAATAAGCCCTGGTACTGAATAAATAAATGACTAAAACAGGTCCTGGGGCTTGGTTCTGGGTTCAAGAGTTGCCCTACCTAGATCCGAAACAGCTACGCACCAACGTTCCACCGCCTTCGCCACTCCGCTTCCTCAACCCCTCAGCCCCGCCCCTACATCTGCATATCGAGCCCCGCCCCCTTTCCTCCGGCCTTGGGCTCCTTCGCCGCCACGCTGCTTTCTCCTGTGTCACGTCCGGCGCCGCTTTGTGCGTCATACCCCGGATTCTAAGGAATTTTTTTAACTGTAAGCCACGCCTCTTTTCCCACTGGTTTAGCATATTGACCCCGCCCCCCTCTCGCGGGTGAGGGAACGCCTTCTTTGCCTTATTAATGTTCTAGAACTTTTCCTTAGAAAGTGAGATAATGGCTTGTATAGGGAATGAGCTAGTGTTCATTTATATATTGCATAAAAGAACCTAACAACAACAACAAAACAACAACAGTTTAATAATAATAATAATAATAATAATAATAATAATAATAATTCTTATGCTAAATCAGAGTTTCCCAAATCTTTGTCCTCCAGGTCTTTTGGACTTCAACTCCCAGAAACCCTAGTCACTTTGGCTAACAATCAGGAATTCTGGGAGTTGAAGTCCAAAAAATCTGAAGGACCAAAGTTTGTGAACCACTCTGCTGAATAATAATAATAATAATAATAATAATAATAAAATATTGTAGTTATTTAATCATTATAAATTATAGTATAATAGTAGTTGTAGTCATATATACTACTAATAACAATATATTTTAGTTATTTAATAATTATAAATGATAATATAATATTGGTAGTAGTAATATATACTACTACTAATATATTGTAGTTATTTAATAATTATAAATGATAGTATAATATTCTCAGTAATAGTAATATATACTACTAATAATACATTGTAGTTATTTAATACTTATAAATGATAATATAATATAACAACAAAAAACAATAGTTTAACAACAACAATAATAATATTAAAATAATTCATATGCTAAAATACTACTACCAATAATAATATATTGTAGTTATTTAATAATTATAATATAATAATAATATATCAGTACAATAATAACAAAAAACAATAGTTTAACAACAACCACAACATTAATATTATAATATCAAAATAATTATTATGCTAAATAATATACTACTACCAATAACAATTTATTATAGTTATTTAATAATTATACTAATAATATATTAATATAATATAATAACAAAAAACAATAGATTAACAACAACAATAATAATAATATAATATTAAAATAATTCTTATGCTAAATAATACACTAATAATAATAATATATTGTAGTCTTTTAATAATTATATGATAATATAATATATTAATATAATAAAAACAGCAATAGTTCAACAACAATAATATAATATTAAAATAATTCTTATGCTAAATAATATACTGCTACTACTAATAATATGTTGTAGTTATTTAACAATTATAACATGATAATATTTTATAATAATATAACATTGAATTTATAATATAGTAAGTTACAATTTATAATATTTATAACTGCACATTAATGTAAAATTTATTATAAAATAATTTTGCAATTATTAGAGAGCCAGCGTTTGAGCATTAGACTATGACTCTAGAGACCAGGGTTCGATTCGCAGCTTTGCCATGGAAACCCACTGAGTGACCTTGGGCAAGTCACACTCTCTCGGCCTCAGAGGAAGGCAGTGGCAAACCTCCTCTGAAGAAACTTGGCAAGAAAACCCTGTGATACGTTCACCTTAGGGTCGCCATAAGTTTGAAATTACTTGAAGGAACACAACAATTTTGTTGTTGTTGTTAATATTGTTATTATTATTTCTTACCAGCTCTCCCCATCTATCAAGGTGAAGAACAACAACAATTAACAAATATATGACATCCATTAAAACATCAGTTAAAACACATATCAATTTAAGATGTATACATACTTAAAACAATCCCCATTTAAAATTCATCATTTTAAAATTCACAATTTAAAAATCATCTGGATAAGAACCTTATTCTTGTTGTTCTATGCCTTCAAGTCATTTCCGATTCATGGCGACTGTAAGGTGAACCTATCATAGGGTCTTTTTGGCAAAGTTTTTTCAGAGGGAGGTTTGCAATTGCCTTCCTCTGAGGCTGAGAGAATGTGACTTGCCCAAAGTCACACAGTGGGTTTAAATGGCTGAGCAAGGATTTGACCCTTGGTCTGCAGAGTCTTAGGCTGCATCCTCACTGCAGAAATAACCCAGTTTGACACCACTTTAACTGCTATGGCTCATTCTGGGAATTGTAGTTTGATGTAGTACTATCACTCTCTGACAGAGAAAGCTAAATGTCCCACAAAACTACCATTCCCAGAATTCCATAGCACTAAACTACAGCAGTTAAAGTGGTATCAAACTGGATTATTTCTGCAGTGTGGATGCAGCCTTAGGATGTATCTATATAGAAATATTGTAGTTTGATCCACTTTAAAGTGCTGTAGTTCTGTCTTATGGAATCCTGTGATTTGTAGTTTTACAGATTCTTTAGCCTTCTCTGTCAGAGTGCTGGTGCCTCACAAAACTACAAATCCCAGGATTCTGCAGGATGAAGCCATGGCAATTAAAGTGGTGTCAAACTTCATTATTTTTACAGTGTAAATAGGCTCTTCCTTAGTTCAGTATTACTGTTTTATTTTTATTAGACTTATTTCAGCAATGTGCATAACACTTTACAAAATGCAAGAAAACACATCTGCTATGAACCTGCCATATTGTGCTGTATAGTATATTGTAATTTGCTTACCATATTAATTATGCTGCAATTAATCTGTTTTAAGGTACCATATAAGTCATAGATCTTTCTTGCTGCACAAAGGCTACATCTGCACTGCAGAAATAATTCAGTTTGACACCACTTTATAACTCCATGCTACGGGATCCTGGGATTTGTAGTTTGTTGTGACACCAGAACTCTCTGACAGAGAAGGCTAAATATCTCACAAAACTACAATTCCCAGGATTTCATAGCATTCATACCAGCTAAAGCTGTGTCAAACTGGATTATTTCTGCA